CTCCCACTCTCTCCATGCTCTCATGGCTCAGCTCTGATTTATCTGCTGAAGGCTCTCTAATCCACATCTTCCACTGTTACTACTGTCGTGAGCTCAAAACCCATATACCCGAGTAGATGTTTCCACCTGGATGTTTCATAAGCTCCAGAGACTCCTCCAGGCAAAGCTTTTCTATGTAACCTCTATCGTACCTATAGCAGTTTATGCACGGACTATAGTACTTGTCCTTTTATTTGTTGCTTGTAAAATTCCCCAACTAGAGTCTTAAGTGTTTGGAAACCTAGGAGATTATATATATATATATATATATATATATATATATATATATATATATACATATATATTAATCTTTCTATTTCCAAACCCTGACATTATATCTGTATACCTCCTATCTTTTTTCTCCAGCTCTCAGGATTGCTGTGTTTTGATTTCCACCTCCCTTCAACTTGTTTTACCTGATTAGCTGCTTTATTTAACCTGCCCCATTTCCAACATAGCATGAATTCACAACTTACCTTCAATGTGTCTTTGTGGGGGAAAAAGATGTCCACCATTGGAAAGAGCAACTGATTCCTCATCTTTGGAATTAGGTTGGTTTGGCTAGTTGCCTGAGAAGAGTGTGGGTGGATTCATTTTGTCCCCTCTCTGTTTATGAAGTCACTGTTTCTTTCTTTGGTTCTTGGTGGGGAAAACAAAGAAGTCCATAATTGTTGCATCAGAGTAAAGTTTAGTAAATGATGAATTTAGAGAATTTAGCAAGGTCAAATCATTAAAGGGCTTTGTGATTTATTATTATTATTATTATTATTATTATTTTTTTACTTAACTCATACCATTGTGATTGAAGAAGATGTGTGATATGATTTTAGTCTTCTTAAATTTATTGAGACTTATCATGTGGCTTGACATATGCCCTATCCTGGAAAACATTCCATATGCACTTGAAAAGAATGTGTATTCCTTTGCTTTGAGGTAAAATGTTCTAAAAATATGTATTAAGTTCATCTGCTCTAATATGTTGTTTAAGGACACGGTTTGCTTGTTGATTTTGTGTCTAAATTATCTATTCATTGATCTCAGTGAGGTATTTAAGGCTCTATTATTACTATGTTACTCTGTATCTCCTGATTTGTGTCCATCTATATTTGCTTTGTATATTTAATTTTTATACTAGCTTTATAATTTGTCGATTCACTGTTTTTGCAAAGTGTTTACCTTTGTCAGTTGGATTTTTTTCTTTTCTATATTTATATCTTTGATCTTTTATTTTCCCCTTAAGTAAGTTCATTTATCATTTCTTATAATTCTGGGTTAGTGGTGATGAATTTCTTTAGCTTTCCTTTGTCTTGAAAACTCCTTATCTCTCCTTCAGTTCTAAATGATAGCCTTGCTGGGAAGAGTAATCTTGATTGTAAGTCTTTGCTCTTCCAATTTTTAGCATATGTGCTGCCAAAGTGAACACTATGTCTTTGCTTTTCATCACTTTCAATATTTCATGCTAATCTTTTCTTTTCTACAACGTTTCTGTGCAGAAATCAGCTGACAGCCTGTGGGAACTCCATCTTACCTAGCCAATTTCCTCTTGCTGCATTTAAAATTCTCTTTTATATTTAACCTTTGATATTTTAATTATAATATGTCTTGCTGTGGACTTCTTTGTGTTCATCTTGTCTAGGAATCTCTGCACTTCTTGGACTTGTATGTCTATTTCCTTTGCCAGGTTAGGGAAGTTTTCAGTCATTATTTCTTCAAGTAGTTTTTGTTTTTTTTTTTTTTTTTTTTTTTATCCCTTGTTCTCTCTCTTCTCCTCCTGGTACCTTTTTGATGCAATTATTGGTATACTTGATATTGTCCCAGTGGTCCCTTAAACTCTCCTCCTTTTTTATTCTTTGGTGTTGTTCCATTGGGAGTTTTTCACTCCCTGTCTCCTAGATTACTGATTCAATTTTCCATTTCATCTAATTGCTGTTGATTCCCTCTGATGTTTTATTGATTTCCGTTATTTTATAATTCAGCTCTGAATGATTGTTTTTGTTGTCTATTTGTGTGTGTGGGGGGGGGGGCTTCACTTTGTGGAAGCTCTCACTGAGTTCATGCATTCTTTTCCCAATTTCATTGAACATCCTTGGGTTTTAAACTCTGTATCTAATAGATTGCTTGCATTTTGTTTAGTTCTTTTTCTGAAGTTTTGTCCTATTCTCTCATTTAGGGCATGTTTCTTTGTCTCCTCATTTTGGTGGACTCCCTGTCTTTATTTCTATGTATTACGTGGATCTACTACATGTTCCAGTATTGGCAGAGTGTTCTTATGTAGAAGGTGTCCTATGGAGTGCAGTGGTACATCTCTCTGGTCACCTGAGCTAGGTTCCAGAGGCATCACCTGTGTGAATTGTGTGGGCCCTCCTATTGTACTTGGACCTCCATTGCTGTTGGCACATCAATGGACTGACTGGGTGAGGGGACTGGCCATAACTACAGTAGATGAGTTGTTCTGCAGGGGCTGACCCCAGGGAGTGAGAATCACTTTAGCAGAGGCTCTGGGGCCAGTTGGATCTGCCCTTTTCTTGTGTCAATTGTGAAGTTCATTGGGTGAAACCCCAGTGCAGCCTGAAGCCTGCCCCTGGGTTTGTTAGGTCTGGAACCTCTTGGGAGGAGCTCTGGTGTAGGCCAAGGCCAGCCACTGCTTGTTCAGGGTTTGGAGCTGCTTGGTAGGAGCCACAAAGTGATTGGTTAGTTGCCACTTGTGCTGGACTTGGATGTGCTTGGGGGAGGCTATGCTGAAAACTGAGACCAGCTGCCACTTGTTCTGGCTTTGAGACCCTTTGGTGGGTGCAATGATGCAAACGGAGGCTAGTCATCATTTGTGCTGGGTCTGTGGCTGCTTAGTTGGAACTATGCTGAAGGCTAAGGCTGGCTTCCCCTTATGTCCAACTTTGGGGCCACCTGATGGCAGCGACAGTGCAAATTGAGACTGGTTATCACGTATGTTCACCTTGTGGCCACTTGGCAGGAGCTACAATTTAAGCCAAGGCCTGTTGCTGCTTGTGTGGGGTTTTTTGACCGTTGAGAGAGTCTGTATCATGAGCCAAGAGCAACCGCTTGCATGGAATTTGTGGCCTTTTGAAAAAGTCTGCAGCACAAACCTAGGGGTTCTATGACTCATGTGGTGTTTGCCGTCCTTTGAGTGTGCCTGCAGCATGAGCCAAGGCAGGCCACTCCTATGGAGAAACTTCTGGAAAAGGCTCAGACCAGTCAAGGGAATTGAGTTGGGTGGGGTCTTAGGGAGTCACCAGGGTGGGGTGAACTATGTTTCCCAAGTTAATGGAGAGCATGAGTTTGGCACCTTTCTGCACTGGGCCAGCTTTTGGGAGGTGAGCTCAGCAAAGGAACAATGGTCCAGCCAGTGATTCTGTCCCTGGAGAGAATGCCAGCCCTCATCCAGAAGTTAGTCAACTTAGTTATTCCCCAGATGTTCCTGTCACTTTTTGAGCTGCAGCCTCTGTGCTGGAGTTTAGATCGAATGAGTTTTTGCACTGCCCCTTTAAGAGCAGCATGTCCTGGTCTCCCACAGACATTTATTTGTCTGTCTGGGATGCAATCGCCACTGGTTTTCACAGACAGATGTCATGGGGACTCCTCTTCCCAGCACTGAACTTAGGAGCCCAGAGTGGGATTGAACCTGATATATCCCTCCTGTTTCTTACTCATTATACTCAGGTATGGAACCTGCCCTGTCTGCATCTCCACCCCGCCTACCTGTCTCAGTGATGACTTTTTCTTCTGTATCATTAGTTATAGGAATCCTGTTCAGCTAGTCTTCAGGTGGTTCTCAGTGATGGTTGTTCCATAGTGTAGCTGTAATCTTGATGTGAACTTAGGAGGAGGCAATCTCAGAGCTTACCTACTCTGTCATCTTGAATGAAGTTTTTTTTTTTCTTTAGTCAATAATTTTTACAAAGCTATATATGCCCTCATTTTCCTCAGGAATATAGTATTTAGTTTTTTCCATTGGTGGGTTTTGACAAAAACATTCTCTCGCTCTCTCTTCTCTTTCCACCATTGCCTACTCTATAGAACTCATTTTGTGCACTAGCTCAATTGATGATAAGGCACCCAATTTTCTAGAGCAAATATAGCTCTAGATTGTGCTATTATTATGGTCATGAAACCAGGTTGCTGCTATTTCTGTCATTACCTCAGATTGAGGAGATCACTGTGGTTGCTGCTCTCAGTCTTTCAAATTACTCTTTGATATAGCTCATTAAGGCCAAAATTTTGCTATATGTCCTACTTTTTTTAAATTGAGGCATAATTGACATATAACATAATATAATGTTTCAGGTATAAAACATAATGATTCCATGTATGTATATATTGTAGAATGATTGCCACAATAAGTCTATCACCTCATGCAGTTACATAATTTTTCATGTGATAAGAACTTCTAAGATCTACTATCTTAGCAACTTCAAATATACAATATAGCATTATTAACTACTAGAGGCCTGATGCATGAAATTCCTGCAAGAGTACGCTTCCCTTCCCTGCCAGCACGGGCTTCCCTCTGGCACCCAAGACCCGGGTTTCCCTCCAGCCACCAGCAGGCACCCAGGACCTGGGCTTCCCTCGCAGCCCCAGCTTGGTCCAGAAGGTTGTCCGGAAGGATGTCCAGTCTAATTAGCATATTATGCTTTTATTATTATACATAGTCCCCATATTGTATATTATATCCCTAGACCTTACGTAATTTATAACTGGTAGTTTGTATCTCTCTCTTTTCTCACACAAAAAAACAAAGTGTTAAAAACTTTACTATTAAAATGAGCTTGACATTTTTTCATGTCACTGACATTATAAATATTGTGAAAATAATTATAACATCACATCAATTAATGTAGATTTGTTTGTAGCTCAAGATTGCTTAAACCAATGACATTAAATTTCCTCTTCCTGGTGTTTTGGAAGTCTTTGCCTTACAGGTATTATCATATTTTTTTCAGGTGCAGAATGATCTTGAAATAAAACATAAAATCAAGGCACAAGCTTTACTTTACCCTCACTTACAGATAATTGATTCGTATTTGCCATCTCACAGAGAAAATGAGAATGGTGTGGTTCTGACAAGGGACATAGCCATAAAACTCTTGAGCTTATATATCACCGAAGATAAAACATTTCCCCAGGCACTGAAAAGAAACCAACATATGCCACTAGAATCAAGACCTTTGTTCAAGTTTGTTAACTGGAGTACTCTCTTACCCAAGAAGTATAGAAAGGACTATGTTTATACTGAACCAATTCTTGGAAGAAATAGTTATTCATTGCCAGCTCTTATGGACATCAGAATGTCACCCTTGTTGGCCAGTGATTCCCAGTTACAGAATTTGCCATCAACCTTTATTCTTACCTGTGAGCATGATACCCTGAGAGATGATGGACTTTTGTATGTTTCAAGACTTCAAAATGCTGGAGTTCAAGTTACTCATGAACATATTGAGGATGGATTCCATGGAGCTCTGTCATTTATGTCATCACCCCTGAATTTACATCTAGGTCTCAGAATAAGAGACCTGTATATTAGTTGGCTGGATAAGAATTTATAAATCCATCACTTACTTGATTGTATTTTGTGGTATTTTGTAGTTGTAGTACAAAGAACAATGCCATTTGTATTGTCTAAATCTAGGCTTGAATCAGTTATAATGATTACTGCATATCCTCGAACTAGTAATATTTTTGACTCGCAAAACCTGCATGTGATCCTTTTTTCTCATTACTTACGGTTTTTAGAATTATGTTGGTCCTGATAGAGACCAGTGCTTATTAACGTTTAGAAATAAGAATAATACTGTCAAGTAAGAGAAGACAATATCCAGACAGGTACAGAAACTGTATAATAAGTGGGAAGAGAAAAAAACATTAGGAAAACATCGTAAGGAAATTGTATTAGTTTCATGTGGCTGTTATAACAAATTACTACAAATTGTGTGGTTTAAAACAACAGAAATTTATTCTCTAGAGTTCCTGAAGTCCAATACTAGTATCATTGGGCCAAAATTAAGGTACTGGTGAGAGAAATGCTCACTCTGGAGGTCCCAGATGGCTGGGCCCCTGCCTCTTTCACCGGGTGGCTAACAGAACTCCTTGCTCTGGCCAGATCACCTTAATCTCAAAGGCTGGCATCTGCAAATCTCTCTGCTGCATCTTTACATGGCCTTCTCCTACGCCTCCTCCTAGAAGGATTACATGTGTTTGCATTCAGGTTCTATCCAAATAATCCAGAACAATCTTTCCATTTTGAGATTCTTTTTTTAAAATTTATCTTTATTGTTGAAAATATTACAGATGTCCCCTTGTTAATTTTTTCCATTGACCCCCTCCACCTTGCACCCGCCCCTCCCAGACCTTCACCACACTATTTTCTGTGTCCATGAGCTATAAATATATGCATATAAATTCCCGGTTAATCTCTTCCCTATCTCCCCACTCCTCCTTCCCTCTGAAATCTGTCTGTCTGTTCCATCCGTCTATGTCTCTGGGTCTATTTTGTTCCTCAGTTTATTTTGTTCATAGATTCCACATCTGAGTGAGATCATGTGATACTTATATTTCTCTGACTGGTTTATTTCACTTGCATAACACTCTCCAGGTCCTTCCATGCTGCTGCAAATGGTTAGAGTTTCTTTATTATTTTCTTTCTTACAGTCGTGTAGTATTCCATTGTGAAAATGTACCATAGCTCTTTTTATCCACTCATCTGCTGATAGACACTTGGGCTGTTTCCAATTTACATTTGCAGATACTTCCTTTCTATCCCTATATATAAGGTAACATGCACAGGGATTAGTATTTAGATATTTTGGAAAGGCCTTTTTTTTCAGTTTTGTTTTGTTTTTTAAAAAGCAGCAGATCAGATCAGCATTATAATTCAATCAAATCTAAATATGCATCTGACAATGTATTTCATCTGAGTATGTAGTGAAAAACTTTTCTACAAACACCTTAAATATATTATCTAGAAATACCCCAAAAGCAAATCACTTCTGCAAGCCTTTTGTTGAGCAGAATCATATGTTAAAACTGAAGACTTATTGCTGTGAAAAAAAAATGTGTAGTACAGTAGTATGAATCTTAGGTATTAAGCATAATCAGTGAACTTAATCAAGTTAAGTTAAAAATAAAAATGTGGCAAGAAATGTGTGTGTGTGTGTGTGTGTGTGTGTGTACCTGTAAGTGGGGTGGGGGTGGGGTGAAAATCTACAGGCCATTTGACTATATAACTTGTTCAGTTAAAACTAGACATTATATCATAGCTTCCTTTTCCAGAAGACAATTAAAAATGACAATTTCAGCAGTCCATAAAACACACACTACTTGGTTGTAACCAAACAACCAAGGGGTCCAAGCTGCCTGTCACTACTTGAGCCAATTAAGTAGAGACAGGGTTAAATCATATATGAGCGTTTATTCCAATAATGCAGGCAGTATGGAGAGCAGCAGTTTATCCACAAAAATCTGCTCTGCCCCTCCCCATTAGCCAGCTGCTTCTATTGGGTAGGAGGCAAAAATTATGTGGGAGAGTAAGAATTACAGGCATGGGAAAATAGGCAAAATATAATGGTTACAGATTACGGGCAATGCCGGGGGGGGGGGGGGGGGACAGAAGAAGGGGAATGTCACAGAGGACGGGTGCTTCCAGGCACCACCTCTGGGACCCAATTACAGGCAACAGGGGCTGGGGATTGCAAAGGGTGGGGGACTAGATTGTTTTAGCCACAGGGTTGTAAATCTTTCCATAAGGGTAGGCAGTTCTTGGGAAAGGAAGATGGACTGCATTCTGATGTTAACTCCCATGTCCCAGGGTAGAGGACTCTTAGCCAGGTTAGAATGTGCTTTCTCTAATCAGAATAGAACAATCATGGTTAACAGAGCATGATTAGAATTTCTTATAATTATAGCTAGTCCCCAATATTCTATTTCTGCCCCTAGCACTGTTTTTTACTATAGAAAGAAATTAACTATGTGCAAAAAGCTATTTTTATTCAGCTTAATTTCAAGGCCCCTAGGATATAAAAAAAAAAACAAACAACCAAACACATCCATGATTCTCACAAATTTAAAAAAAAAAAAAAATGAATGGCATTGGAATGAGTTGTTTTTCCCCACTGAGGTTTATAAAATCTATACAAAAATTTGATACTTTCATATTGTCATGGTTCTGATTTCATTTCCATTACACTTTCTTAAAATATATTTTTTAAGTTATAGAAGTAATTATCTTAATGGTACTGAATCTGATTCCAGTTCTTTTTCATCATTTAGGATAACTGGCTCCCAGTTCCAATCAAGGAAAAATAAAAACCTCTTGTGCAGGTAAAGCCAGAACATTGAGACTGGTGCTTGGAGACAGAAAGGTTTATTTAATTAGTCAAAGCGAGAAGACAAGGAGCAAGATCCTCAATCCCCCTTTCTCAAAAAGCAAAATACGGGGAGTTTATGCAGTTAGGGAGTAGGGAAGGAGAAGTTCCAGGGAACTGAGAGAGAAGTCTGTGTTTCTTTAGTCACAGATAACACTTTTTCCTATCAGACTCCTGGGTGTCAGCAGCTGGCCGCAGCTACCTTGAAGACATTCTTTCCTTCTCCAAAACAAACTCATAAATTTTCCTGCAACCCTGACCGTGAAGTTATCTCCTCCTGCTTGACATCAGCAACCTATGACTACATTTGTGAGAACAAAAGTTGAGCAGGAAGAGCGATTTAACACATGGACAACGGCCTAATTAAGAATTAAGAAAGAACTCTTACCATTTGCAACAGCATGGATGGACCTGGAGAGCATTATGCTAAGCTAAATAAGCCAGAGGAAGACAAGTACCACATGATCTCACTCATATGTGGAATCTGATGAACAACATAAACCAATGAACAAAAATAGATCCAGACAGAGAAGCGTGGAACAGATTGTCAAACCTCAGAGGGAAGGCATATATGCCTAACCCATGGGCACAGACAATAGGGTGGTGAAGGCCTGGGGTCTGGAACCTGGGCGAGCTGGGAGAGATCAATGGGGGGAAAGGAGGATATAGATAATACTTGCAACAATAAAGATGAAAAACATTAAACTGTTTAAATTCTAGCTGCCTAAAGTATGAGGGGCATCAACATCACAGGCTCAGCTCTGTGCCTTAGGGAGTGACTAAGGGCCCTCCTGGACAGGACAGTTCCCAGAAGTGTGCTCCAAGCCTCTTTGCAGAAACAATCACCAACCTTGTAGGAAGATTGTCTGCAGGTACCTTTGTTTGACACCATTTCCAACAGGAAGTCCCCCCTCCTTTACATCACATTTGTTGTACTCACTGTCCTTAAAGCATATCCAAGAATACCCAAATGAAGGAGGTGGCTGGGAGTCATTAGGGACACAGATATTTGTTTTGCGTTTGGGGTTATAAACTAGACGATGTTATTCATTCTGGCACTAAAATTGTTCCAGCTTGGGTCATTGGCAGCTCTTTAAGATCGGCTTCCCCTTACACACGATCCTTTAGATTGGTTGGTGTTGAAGGGTAGTAGGGCCAGACTCTTCTATCCCCTTCAGATCTAATGGCGGACAGCTTGTACTCACTCACTAGGGTGCTCAAATCCTGCCAGTTTCAACTGCTTTCCAATTGGTTACTAAGTCTTCAGATGAATACATGTTGGTAAGATCTTCTCTGTTGCTCCCCTCGGCTTCCTCCCACACAGAGGCCGCTGCTGCAAGGGCCTTGGAGCTGCTGGTGGCTTGTTTCCACTGTTCATCCTTGGAGGTTTGTGTGGAACTGTACAGGTTTAGCTCACATTTTGCTTCCTAGAAGGTCGTCCATCTTTCATTGGTTTTACTAACCAAGTTTCTCTGTGGGTTATCATGGGACATTGAAAGATTTTTAAAAGCTAAGGACTCATCGTGGGATATTTAACACATTTTTTCCCCTAGTAACTGATAGAATAAACAGATAAAAATTAATGAGTAGATTTTGGAAAAATAATAAAATAAATTTAATTTATACAAATTGAAACCAGTATCAAGTAATGTCATAACACACCTTCTTTTCAAATACACATGGAACAGTTTTTTAAAAAACTCTTGGCTATAAACAATTGTTATCACATTTAAAATGATGGAAGCTATGTAAAGGATAATCTTTAGCTACAGTGGAATTAGGCTAGAAGTGAATAACATGATAATTCAAAAATCCCCATTTAAAAATAAATAAACATATTACTAAACAATTCATGGTCAAAATATAATTCACTATAAAAATTAGAAAACATTTCCACTTAAATAATAATGAAAACACCACATACCAGTACAAGGAAAAATTTGTGGAATGCAGCTAAAACTGGTCCTTACAAGAGAGTTTATAACTAAAACACATGCATTAGAAAAGAAGCAAGGACAGTTATCAGAGAAGGTTCTAGAACAAAAACAGGCCTGTGCAGATAATTTTTGCAGCTTCCTACTCAGGTACTTGCAAATTAAGTCAAGCACTGCCACCCAGTGGCATTTTTTGGAATTTGGGATTCAAAATCCACTTGATAACAGTAGCAAAATATTGCTTTATTGACTAGTCGATTATTGTGCCTTGGTGCAAAAAGCTTCCATTATAGAAACCCACCAGGTAATATTATGGGTTGAGAAACATTTTGATTTGTCTAATTTCAGAGGAACATCCTGATAAATATGGCACAACACAGCAGACCTCTTTGATAACATGGAAATTGTATGTACAGGACAGGTCTGGAGAAACATATAGATGGGTTTAAGTCAGTCTGCTATATTTTCTATTTGTTCATTGTTTCAAGATTTTCCTGCCTTTTTAAAAGATTAATTTGGTATTTTAATGATTTCATTGTTTTTCCCATTATTGGGTTATTTGTTTTATAATTTTTAGTGGTAGCTTTAAGAGTTTACAATATGCATCCTTATTTTATCACATGTAACTTCAAATGATAATGGTGCACATAAGTAGTAAGAATTTTCCAATTTCTTCCTTCTCTTCTTTTAGATTATTTTGGCCACTGTATGGGAGAACATATTTGCTAATGATACATCTGATAAGGGGTTAATTTCCAAAATATATAAAATACTCAAACATCTCAAGAAAAGGAAGATAAACAAGCCAATTTAAAAATGGGCAGAAGACCTGGGCAATAGACACTTCTCCAATGAGGACATACAAATGGCCAAGGGACATATTAAAACATGTTCAATGTCACTAATAATCAGAGAGGCAAATTAAAATGACAATGAGGTACCACCTTACACCTGCTAGAATGACTATCATCAATAAATCAGCAAACAACAAGTACTGGAGAGGATGCGGAGAAAAAGGAACCTTAGTACACTGCTGGTGGGAATGCAGACTGCTGGTGGGGTGCAACCACTATGGAAAACAGTGTGGAGTTTCCTCAAAATATTAAAAATGGAACTGCTGTTTGATCCAGTGACCCCACTTCTAGGGATATAGCCTAAGAAGCCAGAAACACCAATAAGAAAGAATGTATGGACCCCTATGTTCACAGCAGTGCAATTTACAATAGCTAAGATCTGGAAATAACTCAAGTGCCCATCAGTAGATAAATGCATTAAAAACTGTGGTGCATTTACACAATGGAATACAATGCAGCTGTAAAAAAGAAGGATCTCTTACCCTTTGAGGTAGCCTGGAGGGACCTGGTGATTATTATGCTAAGTGATATAAACCAGTCAGAGAAAGACAAGTATCACAGGATCCCACTTATATGTGGAATCTAATGAACAAAATAAACTGATGTATAAAAAAGATCCAGAGACATGGAAGCATTCAACAGACTGATGTATTTCAGAGGGAAGGGGCGGAAAGAAAAGTGATTAGCCAATGAATTTATCTGCATATATGCATAACTCATGGACAGACGAGGAAAGCCTAGGGAGGGGATGGGAGCATGTTTGGAGGTGTAAATGGGGGTAAAAGGGGGACATCTTTAATACTTTCAACAATATAGATAAAGTTAAAAAATAAAATAAAATGGCATTAGAATCTGTAGTGGTCTTTTTTCTTATTTCTGTTATTTATTTTTTATGAGCCACTTAAGGATTTATCAATTTACCAACTTTTACAAAGGGGTATAGTCTTTTGTTGATCCTTTTTATATCAGGTTTATTTTAATGTCATTAATTAATCCTCATATTTTTATTAATTACTTTCTTCTACATTTTTGAGCTTTATTTACCATTTGTAATTATTTGATATGGGTGATTGCATTACTGATTTTCATCTTGAGTAATAGTATCAAATGCACACTTTAAAAATATATATCATACCATGTAGAGATGTAGAAACAACTGGACAACTTTTTAACTTTCTAAAGTTTGACAGCAATGGATTAATGAGGAATGCTTTCATGAAAATACTAGAGGCTCAGTGCATGAAAATTTGTGCACTGGAGGGGTCCCTCAGCCCGGCCTGTCCCCTCTCACAGTCTGGGAGCCCTCAGGGGATGTCCTACTGATGGCTTAGGGGAGCGGGCCTAAGCCAGAGTCTGGCCTCCCTCTGTGGAAGGCAACTGGACCGATCAGGGGAAAAGGCCGCCCCCATCACCCCACTGCTGCTGCCACTGCTGGCCGCCACAGCTGTCAGCCCTCCTCGGCCCTCGCAGCTGCTGTGAATTTGTCTGGAAGGACATCCAGAAGACATTCGGTCTATCTGGTCTAATTAGCATATTACCTTTTATTTGTATAGATTATATTTATTTTCTTATCAAGTGGTTTTTAGATCTTATGATGAGTATATGAGTGATTCCATAATTACAAGAACATAATGTTGTTACATCTTTTCACGTTTTTTACAAAAAATAATTTTAGCACTACGGCCTTCAGCAAGAAGAGAGAATTTTCAGTCTTTAGTCAAGGACAAACTACATGATGTACAAATAATGGAAATGCCCTGGGTAAGAACTCATACAATGATTCCAATGAGATATAGCAGTGGAAATTGCATGTTTAATCAGCAATTTGACCCCAAAAAATATTATCTGTGTTATGTTTTACTGATAAAAATATCTATCACATTGTGTTCATTATGGAACTTGCCGAACAAAGCAGTCTCCTATGCTTTTATTGTCTAATATTTGTATTTGGTACTTGCTGTACAAACAGCCCTGTCATTTACTCTGAGGAAGATATTAAACTGATATGAATACAATAAAAGCCAGACCTTTTACAGTTTAGATCATCTGTTTTCTAACTGTCCTTATCCCCTCGTTGTTCCCCCCAACCCCCTCGAGCCCTGCCCTCACCCTCACCCCCTGTTGTCTGCATCAATATGCTTATATGCATGCATACACTTTTTAAACAATGATTGAAATACCTGTTTTCATACCTGGGATAATGGCAAATACCCTTAAGGGAGAGAAGAGTAATGAATGAGGTCAGTCCTACAATTGTGTCAGCCTTCTGCCTGGAGGAAACCTACAGATCATTGTTCAGGTAATTGATCGGAATTGAGGAAGTAGAAATGGAAGTTTGGGGAGACTGAGGCAGCTGGAACCATAATGTAGAGCTCTGGACAGGATAAAATGTTATACAAAAAAAGAGCTTGAGAAAAATATCTCGGGCCATCCTAGACCAGCTGCACAATGTGCTAGGAAAGGGGGGACATAACTCAGTGAGGCCAGCAAATAAACGGGAGCTGTAAGCTAAACCAATTCCACAACCCAAACTACAATTCAAAAAGGGTGGGTAGTTGTCTGAGCTCAATACAACCATTTTCCCCCCAAATTTTTGAAAACTGCAGTCACTGATCCTGAAGCTCAACAAACCTGAAGTAAGATAAACAGGAAGAAATTATAAAAGGACACATCACAACCAAATTGCTGAAAACCAATAATTGAAAGAAACCACATGGGGGGGAAAATACAGTATACCAGTATATGGAGATACAAAACTTCACTGAAGAGCAAAATTCTCAGAAACTAGACAAGCTAGAAGATGACAGAATGACATATTTAAAGGATTTGAGAAAAGGACAACTAAAATCATATATTCAGCCAAATTATCTTTTAACGTAGCCTCGACTGCCCTGGCCAGTGTGGCTCAGTTGAATGAGCGTCATCCCGTGCACCAAAAGTTTGCCTGTTGATTCCTATATTTTGTGATGCCACCAACTCAAGAGGTAGTTTCCAGGCCCTGTGGATTCTAATCACTTCTGTCTGGAAATGACACACATGAATTTATATCTGATCCCTTTGGCTAGCTGGGGTCCCATCACCTTACTTCACTGCTAGAGAAGGGATCTAAAAATTATAGGGGCACATGGATATTCAGTGAACAATCAGTGCCTCCAACACTGTCACTTGGTTTTGCATGATCTTGGCAAAGTATTCATCTTAATCTCAGTTGCTTATCTATGATCTGAGACTAATTGATGAACTGGGCCAAATGAGGTTTCAGTGTAAGAGACTCACAGAGGGCGGTCCTGGCTTCACTCCATAGGGCTGAATGAGCTTGTGCAACTTTTGAACTTTCCTCCATCTGTTTATTGCTCTCTCACATGACAGTAGTACTACTGAGGAGTAAATAAAATTTAAAAGTTTTGGTATACTGACTCGACTACAGAGTTAAGTGCTCAAAAGCTGTTAGCTATCTTCACGATTGCGGTATAATTTTAACATAACTAGTATTACTTACTGGCGTTCAAAGTTGTAGCAAGACAATCTAAAGTTATAATCCTATAAAAGTTAAGTGAGCCTATACATCTTGCTTTGTAAAAGCTCCCAATACTTTCAAAAGATTTGTTTTCCTTCTCTCTGGGATGTGTTATTGGAATCATATGCCGGGTTTGTTGAATTTTCCTCAGGCCTTTAAAAAAAAATAATGAAAGTATTCTGCACCTCATAATATGCAATAAATTGTTTGACTGCCTAGCCACCCAATAAGGAAGTTGGACAGGCAAAACTTGCAAACAGTAAGTGCTGTATGTTTACAGTGATCTTTGTCCTCCTACTGTTTATTTCTGGACAGGCAATGAAACGACACAGGGAGCAGTGGAGTTTGTGTTCAGGAAGTTACATAACACTTTATGATAGGTCCAAACCTGGCTATGAAAGTTCTGCCTCTGAATATTTCAAAGTGTATTTGCTGCACTGGCAAGGAGAGCAGACAGGAAACAGCATGGGAAGAAAGACTATTTTGCTCCTGTTGGTGGGCATTTTCACGGCATATTATGGTTATACACCTCTCCCCGATAATATTGAGGAGCCATGGAAACTGATTGGGTGGACCTTCATATTTAACACCATAACAAATGTGGTAAGTATAGAATTTTATTGACTCAATATCTAACAGTTTAATCAGGAGAACATATCTGTTGTATTTCTTCTAACAATTTCTACTGTCTTGGACATTTTGCGCTTTAAGTTGCTGATTTTAAAATCTTTCTTATATTTTAACTACTCCTTAAGGCCGACCACTAGCAGAATGAAAATGAAGGAAGTAGTCAAGTAGTTTTGATTCTAAATATTAAAGGACAAAAAGTCTTCTTGTGAGTCATGGCATGAACACAGCCAGAAGGAAGCATGTTAAAGCATGAACTGCAGGAATGGTAGGACTGAGCAATACTCTGGTTAGTTACAACATTCTGTGCAATGATCTTATATTCAGACATGAAAATGAATTCTTACTGAGATATTTGGAAACAGGTCGCTGGTAAAGGCCAGGGAAATGTGTGATGTCCAGTAGATGGTGAGCTGCTGAGGTGACCAAGCAACTGGCTGACTAGCTGTCCACCATGGCTGGTCCTCAAAGACCTATGGTTCTTTCTGAGTGAAGCTCATTACCTAGAAATAAAACCATTTATTATCTTCTTTAATCTTCTAGGTAGCAATTTGCCTGTAGCAAAAAAAAAAAAAAAAAAAAAAAAAAGATAATCCAAGGACAATTGGCCTAACTAATAAAACTCTTGGTTTTTATTGCTTTCCTTGCTCCTCCCCCTGCCACGCCCCCCCCCCCCCCCACACACACACACTCGCTTTCTAAAGTTATTTTAACAATCTCTTTTGGCATTTAATATAGCTTTGAATCAGTGCAATATATAACACTAGGGGCCTGGTGCACAAAATTCGTGCACTGGGTGTGGGGGGGTGTCCCTCAGCCCAGCCTGCCCCCTCTCACATACTGGGAGCCCTCAGGCGTTGACCCCCATCACCCTCCAATTGCAGGATCAGCCCCTTGCCCAGGCCTGACGTCTTTGACAGAGGTGTCAGGCCTGGGCAGGGGACCCTCATTTCCCCCCATCACTGGTTCTGCCCCCAGCCCAGGCCTGATGCCTCTGGCCCAGGTGTCAGGCCTGGGCAGGGGACCCCAAGACTCCTCCGATTGCTGGCTCTGCCCCTTGCCCAGGCCTGATGCCTTGGCCAGAGGCGTAGACCCCCATCACCCTCCGATCGCCTGATCGGCCCTTGCCCAGGCCTGACGCCTCCTCCAGAGGTGTCAGGCTTGGACAGGGGACCCCCATCTCCCCCCGATCACTGTCTCTGACCCCCGCCCAGGCCTGAGGCCTCTGGCCCAGGAATCATGCTTGGGCAGGGGACCCCCATCTCCCTCTGATCTCTTGCTCCACCCCCCGCCCAAGCCTGATGCCTCTGACCCAGGCTTCAGGCCTGGGCAAGGGGACCATCATATCCCTCCAATCCCCGGCTCCGCCCCCCACCCAGACCTGATGCCTCAGCCAGAGGAGTTGACCCTCATCACCCTCCGATCACCAATCACCGGATCGGCCCCTTGACCAGGCCTGAGGCCTCCGGCAGAGGTGTCAGGCCTGGGCAGGGGACCCCCAGCTCCCTGCGATCTCCCGCTCTGCCCCTGCCCAGGCCTAACGCCTCTGGCCGAGGCAGTAGGCCTGGGCAGGGGACCCCCAGCTCCCTGCGGTTGCAGGCTCCGCCCCTGCTCAGGCCTATCGCCTCTGGCCTAGGCATCCAGCCCGGGCAGCGGGGACCCACAGCTGCAGCGGCCCCGCGATCATGGGCTCCGCTTTAGGCCCAGGCAAGGGACCCCTAGCTCCCGGGACTGCCAGCTTCGACCATGCCCAGCTCCCATCGCTGGCTCCACCCCTACTTCCTGCTATCACTGGCCTGATTCTCCGATCATAGCTGGGCCGCCTTTGCCCTCCCCTCCAGCTCTTAGCTCTTCCCTGGGTTTCCGATCACTGTCAGTGGCAGGGGGCTTCTTCCTGCTTTCCCTTTCGCCTCCCTGCATTGTGCCTACATATGCAAATTAACCGCCATCTTTGTTGGCAGTTAACTGCCATCTTAGTTGGCAGTTAATTTGCATATAGCCCTGATTGGCCAATGAAAAGGGTAGCGTCGTACGCCAATTACCATTTTTCTCTTTTATTAGTGTAAATAGGCACTATTTCTTAGCTTTGATCATCAGAAATTCAACTGTTATTTACTTCCTTAGCTGATAGAGCTTTGTATGACTAAGGTATAAGAAATGATTTTGTCCATACACTGAGGCATATTAATTCCAGAGTTGGTCAAAATTTTCCCTCTTTATCATTTGAAATTTCAAATTTACGTCAAAAATTGTTTTGGGGATTTTAGAGTCAGTATAAAGAGAGTAAACTTGTCTGAGATATTAATCTGCTGCTCTAATTCACAATACTTTACTAAAGGGAGGAGTCAAAGAAACTTTAAAACCCTAATTATTAAATTCAAACTGCAGAGATACTGGGTGATAGTATTAGCACACACTGGTGGCTTTTTAGTCTTCAGTTTTATGTTTATCATACTTCCTAGTATAATCTAAAAACTTGTGAAATTATAAAGTCACATTAAAAATTTTATACTTTGTACTTTCTTGTACAACATTGCAATTTGTCTTCATAACTAAATTCCTGTCCTTAAATGGCATAACTTAGTGCCATTCTCTATCACTTAAAAAATATTTGAAATAGTCTCATTCTTTCAGGATAAATGACTTGAGCCCAGTGATAAATGTTTTGAAAGATGGTCTTGTATTTTCTGTACTTTGATTTAAAGACAGAAGGCCAACTAAATTGGCATAAACTACTTTATGGGATAAATTTTAATACCTCATCCATGTCATAGGTTGTAGAAATTTTAAATTTATTTGCTAAAATTGAGTAAGTAAATGCTGTGACCTGCATCTCAACTTTCTGTGTTAACACTTAAAATCACTAATATGTATGTGATTTCTTCAAAATCACGCTGTTAATTGATTGGAGTGCTTGTGCAAAACTCACACTGGACAACATGGGGAAGTATATATAACACTACTAGAGGCCCGGTGCACAAAAATTTGTGCACTTGGAGGGGCCCTCATCCCGGCCTGTGCCCTCTCGCAGTCTGGGACCTTCGGGGGATGACCACTTGCTGGCTTAGGCCCACTCCTAGGGGTATTGGGCCTAAGCTGGCAGTCAGACATCCCTCTGGCAGCTCAAGAGCCCTCGGGGGATGTCCACTTGCCAGCGGGGAGCAGGCCTAAGCTGCAGTCGGACATCATTAGCACTGCTGAGGAGGCAGGAGAGGCTCCCACCACCACTGCTGTACTGGCAGCCATCAGCCTGGCTTGTGGCTGAGCAGAGCTCCCCCTGTGGGAGTGCACTGACCACCATGGGGCAGCTCCTGCATTGAGCGTCTGCCCCATGGTGGTCAGTGTGTGTCATAGTGATGAGTCATTCCCAGTCGTTCTGCAGTTAGGGTCAATTTGCATATCACCCTTTTATTATATAGGGTAGAGGCCTGGAGCATGGGTGGGGACTGGCTGGTTTGCCCTAAAGGGTGTCCCAGATCAGGGTGGGGGTCCCCCCTGGGGTGCCTGGCCAGCCTGGGTGAGGGGCTGATGGCTGTTTGCAGTCTGGCCACAGCTCCTTCAGGGTGGGGGTCCTCCCTGGGGTGCCTGGCCAGCCTGGGTGAGGGGCTAAGGGCCATTTTAAGGTTTGCCACACCCCCTTCAGGGTGGGGATTCTGCTGGGGTGCCTGGCCAGTCTGGGTGAGTGACTGAATGCTGTTTGCAGTCTGGCCAAGCCCCCCAGTGGGGACCCTCACTCCATGAGGGTGTGGCCATCCTGGGTGAGGGGCTGGTGGCTGTTTTCAGGCAGGCCACAGCCCCCAGCCACCCAAGCTCCCAGTGGAGGCTGGCTGGAAGCAGGTATCTGGGATTTATTTATCTTCTATAATTGAAACTTTGTTGCCTGGAGGGGAGGCCACAGCTGGCCAGGGCAGGCGGGAAGTTGGCTTCCTCCATCACCAGGGCAATCAAGCCTGTGCTTGCTCCAGCCCCGGGGCTGCTGGCCACCATCTTGGTTGGGTTAATTTGCATATAGTCACTCTGATTGACTGGTGGGCATGGCTTGGGGCATAGCAGAGGTGCAGTCAATTTGCATGTTTCTCTTTTATTAGATTAGATAGAGATAAAGAGCACAGATGATGGTCCACTGGGGGTAGGAATCTCCACCCCTTCTGTAACTGTAGAGAGGAGCAGGTAGAGGATACCCTCATGCTGGGGCCTGGTCAGCATGTGGAACTGTCTGTCTGGCTGGTGTGGTTCAGTGGTTGAGCATCGACCTATGAACCAGGAGGTCATGGTACAATTCCTGGTTAGAGCACATGCCCAGGTTACTGGCTTGATCGCCAGTGTGGGGCTTGCAGGAGGCAGCGATCAATGATTCTCTCTTATCATTGATATTTCTATCTCTCTCTCCCTTTCTTTTCCTCTCTGAAATTAAATATATTTTTAAAATGTATTTCAAAGCTCATAATAAACTGAAGCCTAGATTCTTCCAAGTTGTAATATCTCAAGAATTCTTTAAATATCTTTTTTTTTTAATATGAGGCAAGTATTATGGTAAAGATTCTGAATCTCAAATATTTCTGTGTCATTCAGATTCAGCTGTGGTAACAGGACACAGGGCTTGTGGGAGCATATATGCATACTTCTATGTTCATAAACAACACTGGCACCTGTTGTTTGTAACCTGGAATGGTATTTGTTTTCTTTCTTTCCTTTTAGGCCCTGGTTGGTGAAGTCCTTGGAATCAACCATTACATGAACACTGTAAGGTTTTTTATGAGCTTTCAAGATGTCCCACCCACATCTGATGAAACTGTCACTGTGACGGACACAACTTTCAGCAATGTTCCTGTCCGTGTATATGTACCAAAGCGAAAGTCAGAGGCCCTAAGAAGGGGCTTATTTTACATTCATGGTGGCGGTTTCTGTTTGGGGAGTGCTGGTAGGTACCCCTTGTTGCAAGTTTTTCTTATCATATAGCATATATTTTATTAATATATTTACTCTGACATACCTTCAATGTCAGAGTAAAAATATTAATAAAATATATGCTATATGATAAAAATATATTAATTAATTATCACAGATAACAGAATACCTCAGCTGTCTGAAATTTCTTTAGTTGGAATTATGTTAGTTTAAAAAATTACTTTAAATTTATTTCTCAAAAGAAATAAATATTCAAAGCTGTAGCAAATCTCAGGTAAGGAGAAAACTTTCATGAACATAGAAATTTATTATTAAGATTGTTAATTGTAAATAAGATGGAATGTTGTAATGGAAACCAAAATTAAATGAGTTGAAGAGTGGAGAAGTGAGGAAATGAAGATGGCAATGGCAGTCTTTTAATAAATTTAGATATGAAGGAAAGATGAAGTTTTAGATAGAAAAGAAGCACAGAGTTGAGTAAGTGTACTTTATTTTTATTTTATGTAAAATATATGTACAGCCTGCCAAGTGTGGCTCAGCTGTTTGGAAGGTCTTCTCATGCACTGAAAGTTTGCCTGTTCAATTCCCTGTCAGGGCTCATACCCAGGTAATGAGTTTGACCCCTACTAGGAGCACATATGAAAGGCAAGGAATCAATGTTTCTCTCATACATTGATGTTTCTCCCTCTCTTCCTCTCTCTCACTCTTTCTCTCTCTCTTTCTTTCTCTTCCCCTATCTTTAAAATCAGTAAAAACAAACATATGCTTGGGTGAGGATTAACAAAAATTAAAATGCACATTTTAATTTATTTTATGCACTCACTTCCTACATTTCTACAAATATATCTAAAATATATCATTTTATTATATGCAATATAAATTTTATATCTTATATAAAGTTTACATATTATATATTTATGTTTAAATACATATTTTATATTTATATATGAAAGGTCTATGAACATGTTTATAAGCTGAAGGTAAAGATAGCAATAAATTCTTTTAACCAGTTTGGCTCAGTAGACAGATCAAGGGCTCTAGACCAGCGGTTCTCAACCTGTGGGTCGCAACCCCTTTGGCGGTCGAACGACCCTTTCACAGGGGTCGCCTAAGACCATCCGGCATATCAGATATTTACATTACGATTCATATCAGTAGCAACATTACAGTTATGAAGTAGCAACGAAAATAATTTTATGGTTGGGTCACAACATGAGGAACTGTATTTAAAGGGCCAGAAGGTTGAGAACCACTGCAGACTGAAGGGTCCCTGGCTGGATTCTGGTCAAGGGAATGTACCTTGGTTACAGGCTCAATCCCCAGTAGGGGGCAGGCAAATGGCAGCTGATCGGTGTTTTTCTCTGGATGTTTCTAACTCTCTATTCCTCCCCCTTCCTCTCTATAAAAATCAATAAAAATATATTTTCAAAAAGAAAAAGGTAGCAGTAAATAGAAGTGTGTTGAAATGTGGGAGGAGGCACGGGAGGATAGGATGAAGTTTGCCTGACCTACAGGATGTGGGAGGGAACTGGACTCCCTACAAAGGGGAGTATTGACACCACACACAGGGAAGAACCTAACTTTCTCTGTTATGCTTTCTCTCTGTTTTCAGGAGGAAAAAAAAGAGGTATCGATGAGTACTGATGTAGATTGGAAATGTAAATTGGAGCAGTACAGGGTGTGATCCTAATATTGTCTATAAATTCAGGCAGTGAAGTCATCAGCTGGCAATGAAGTGATGTTTTTAAGACTAAATCTGAGAAGAAAAAAAAATCTGACTGTGCCACTATGCCATGCCTCAGTTAGTTTCCATGAGTTCCTGCTGCCCAAAGCAGTCCCTTAAAAAAATCTTTCCATCAATGTTTCCCTAAAGAGTTGGGAGCATGCTACCCTAGCCGGTTTTGCTCAGTGGGTAGAGCATAGGTCTGCGGACCAAAGAAGCCTGGGTTTGATTCCCATCAAGAGCCCATACCTTGGCTGCAGGCTCCTCCCAGCCTGGGGCCTGGTGGGTATACGTGCAGGAGGCAACCAATTGTGTTTCTCTCACATCAATGTTTCTCTCTGTCTTTCCCCCTCTTTTCCACTCTCTCTAAAAATCAAAGGGAAAATATCTTCGAGTGAGGATTAACAAGAACAAAAAAGAGTGGGAGCATGTTTACCAAGGTAAAAAAAAAACTAAATAAGAATAAACTCTGAAGCAAAATAGCATTTGCCTGATGCCTTCTCTTTCAGTATTAAAGAAAATTATACTAAAAATGTGTGTCCTAATCCAAAATACAAGCATGATTTTGTATAGGAAATGTTAAATAAAAGTTTAAAATTTAGTGTGTATTTTACATTTGAAGACTATTCAGCACCCAACTTAGTAAACATCACAAGAGAATATCTACTCTTCTTTTTATGGTCCACAGGATGTACCTTTTGTGACAACTTGATATCCTGGTATTTCCCATCAGTACTTTATGATCTCTCCCTCCTCTTGTTACTGGCAAATCCTCTCTTATTTTCTTAACCTTGTCTTATGTGCCAAAGGAAGCACTTTTCCAAACACAATAGCAAATATGTGTGAGCTCTCCCCACCCCATCCATATGCATGGCCAAAATAACCCCAGAAAATACATATCTTCTCATCTGCCTCGGAAATATGAATGCCAACATCAGGTCTCAGTTCTCCCCATTTCCTTTTACTCTTCTTTAACATGCTCTGGCAATTTTTATGAAATCTAATACTATTGCACAGAGCACTCTCTCTACCCCTCCGTTAAAGCAACTAGTATATTGCTTTTAGTTTACACGCTTGACCTTCCCAGCTCCTGTCTCCAGTAGGCTGTGACCTCCTGAAAGTCAGGGAGGTATATTTATGTTTATTCATTCAACACCTGCTGATTGACGAGAGCACAGTTTAATCATGAGAACAGTGAAATTGCTTAAATTATACAGTGTAAAATGTGGGGAAGAACAAGAAACCTGACAATGTGCATGTAACAGGATCACTGAGAAAGAGAATTCATGTTCTGGAGCTGTGATGAAATAGTAGAATTATTTTTCCAAAACATTTTCATGAGGAATGAGATGTCGTAGTAGGTATTTTGCTGGGGGAAAAAAAATGTCTGTCAATTTATTTGTCAGTTTCTGATTTTCTTTTTGTTTATTTCAGCTCAGTATTCTTATGATGTGCTGTCAAGACGAACAGCTAAGAGACTTGATGCTGTTGTCATTTCAACCAAGTAAGAGCACCGTTGGTTGGTTTGGGTTTTGGCCAAGTGCTTTATATAGTGAGATGTTTTCACTTGTTCTGATCATCCCATGGTTGTGCCAGGGGTGTTTCAAATGGAAATCAGAGGATGAGAATAGAGAAAGTGAGCTTGGGCATGACCAGAAAAGAGAGTGAGCGAAAAGAGTTAGAGAGGTGGGTCAAGTGGGGATCAAAAAACAGGACGTCAAGAAATTGTTAGAATACAATTAAAATATTAAATTTTATTCACTAATGACCTTTGTTGGATTTCTCACCTAATCAGGCTCAAAATTTAGTTCTAGAATTTACTGAGTGACTGTGACAGTTAAATCTCATATTAACTCCATTTTCTCATATGTAAACTGGGATTCATATAATATTTCCTATGTCATAGAGTTATTTTGAAAATCAAATAATAATAAAGTATGTTTAAAGCCATTAGTATAGTATATTTTGTGGTATAATTCTTCATCAAAAGCAAGTAGTCACTAAATAACCTGGGAATACAAGCACAGTCTATTATAAAAAGCATACTAGATCAATAATCAATAATAGAAAATGAAAAAAACACATAGTAATGACTGCATGACAACTTGATCATTAGGTTAAGTTGGAATAAAATTGTTTAATATTTGTTTAATATTTTTTGGTTAGTAATAAAGTATAATGATTACAAAGGAAATAACATTCTGGAAGAAGTTTTGGTAGTTATCATCTGGGATTTTTTTCCTTAATCCCCATCCAAGTTTTGCATTCAGGCCTCTACTCATGCAAAAATGACATTTGTGAAAGTTTTCATATCCAGCATTATCATTAGGATTAAGTCTGGCTTTAGATTCATTGTAATTCAAAATAGGTTTGCTAAAGAAAAAATTTTACTTTTGATTTTAAGGCAAGAGCATGCACACAAATGAGTATTCACACACACACACACATTCATTTTTATTATAAATATTGACTTAAAGAAAATTGTGTTTTCTACCTACAGCTATAGACTAGCACCTAAATACCACTTTCCAAATCAATTTGAAGATGTGTATAATGCATTAAAGTGGTTCTTACGCAAAGATATTCTTAAAGGCTATGGTGTAGATCCCAAAAGAATTGGTATTTCTGGAGACAGTGCTGGAGGGAATTTAGCTGCAGCAGTGACTCAACAGGTATGTTGCTTAGATTTGTTTCATTTTTAAAAATATCCTACACTTAAATTTATTTATTTAAAACATTAAAATATTAATGCAAATATGTTATATTAATACATTAGAGATACATAGAGATCATGTCAGAGAACATTAATATATCTAGTACCTCTAATCCTACCTCCTGCCATATTTATAAAAATAAAATGATAAAATCTTCTTTATACTGTAGATCATTGGTTTAAACCTAATTGGTATGGTCAGGTAAGTACCACAGTGTTTGTTATATTAGGGGACTGCACTTGTGAAATCAATCAGTGACACTAATCACCATGACCAGAGAATCAGATGATTTCAATATTCTTTAGTGGAGTATGCTAAAACGTGCATGAAAACTGTTACCAGAATAATAAAGTTGCCTATGGA